TAACGAATATATCTATACTATATTACTAATAGTCATTACTAATAAACATGTTAACGATATATCATGTCCAATCATGTCCTTATAAAGGAGTAACGTATATATCTATACTATATTACTAATAGTCATTACTAATAAACATGTTAACGATATATCATGTGGTCCAATCATGTCCTTATAAAGGAGTAACGAATATATCTATACTATAATACTAGTGTATACACTTAATATATACAATTTATCCGTTGAAAAATTAACTAACAAAATTGTACAAATGTGTGCAAAGTTTTGTAGGTCTACGGTCTACTGAGGTCTACTGAACTTTCTATTTTTTGCACATTTTTGCAATTTCTTACAAAGTTTTTCATGGATATATGGTATGCACTCTAGTAGTCCGCATTACTTACAGACTGTTTTGCTTCTAACCTCTACTCCCGCAACATTGTTGCATTGCAAGTTGCAGAGCTAATGTTGCTCGTTTTACCACTCCGCGTGTAACAAAGAGAAACTCCTTATATTGTTTGCAACAATAATAATGTTGGGCGTGGACTGGTAGTATGAGCAACATTAGCTCTGCAACGCAAAAAATGTTGCGCGAAAAGTTGCGCGATTTTGTTGCCCGTATAGAGCGGTTTTCGTATGACTGTGAAAACGTGGGTGTCGTATGCGTGCCTTGCCGCGACCGTGATGTTTTCTGGAATTTTGATTGGGAATTGTTTTCTCGCGCAGTGCGATTAATCTCTCAGTGACCTTGCCGTGTTCTGATGCCGTGTATCGGGCATTTGATTAGATGCACAGTACATTCTCGTGCAATCTGATTGGGCTGGCGTATAAATTGCCGTGTTACGACCGCCGGTGTTCGTGCTGTGAGGTTTCCACAGTCACACGAAAACAGCTCTACCTTAGCAGAGGGTGTTATGTCAAACATTGCAGATGTTTACATTTATTATAAGTAACTTTATTCTGCTGTTATTTAGAATGGGCGAGTGGAGTGCATTCGGATCACATGTCCTGCTAGGCCAAAATGCCGTGGAATATTGAAGCGAATCCCGGGCAAATGCTGTCGAGTATGTGTAGGTAAGGGTACCAGCTTACTATAACGTTCATTTTCTGTCTTTAGGCGTGCTTTGATGCGTGCACCTTTTTCCTTGATAGCACATCTACATAAAATACTCTTTTCTGATTGGTTGATTGGCCGTGAATTTTTCCTTATCCGTATACACATCCAGGAACTTTTTACTGCTTATCGTCGTTTGAAATGCAAAAATGGAGTCGGATACTATCCTTTTTTTATACTTCACAAACGCGTATTTTATGTTGCTGTATTATTAAAAGGAAATACCACCTTAGTTCTCGAAGAATTAATGAAAGATGCCATTTGCATTTGATGAAAGTGGCTTAATACCATGCACTTGTGCTACGCACTTGTGGTATTAAGCCACTTTCATCAAATGCGCGTGGTATTTTTCATTAATTCTTTTCGAACGGTGGTATTTTTCTAAAGAACATACGCAATGTTTTCTTATAAAAGGCGGGTGGGATATCATTAAAAAAAGCGGGCATAATAGCCACTTGTACACATGTTAACCTTTGGACCCCAGGAATCGAGCTTTGTGTCATGTTTGCACAGAAAAGAACTGCAACACAGATTTTATGAAAAACACTTCACTTTTTAAGGACGGTGATAAGTATTTTGACTAGACACACCCTTGGACTCTTGGATAGTGAGAATAACAGGTACGATGTACACGTATTCTGTTGTACAGCCACTTTAGGTTCAGCTACTGAGGATACGCATGCAAGAAACAATTACATGACAGTGTTTGCTCGTTATGTATAGACTTTTGAAGGCAGATAAGAAGAGCCCAACCCTGCGAAATGAAGTTTTTTCTCTACCTGGTAGGAATTCGGAAAATGAATTCTGCTCGCAGGTAGAAGAGCCATGTACATGAAAGAGGAAATTTTGCCTAACAGATAATGAGCGGTTTGTAGGGATTGAATGTGTCTAGTCAAACAAGGTATTCAGTGCGCATGAGGATTACTCGTTTTTTCTAAAGAGATAAATGCTTTAGCTGGCACATGGTGAAGTTCGAAGAATAAGGTTTTCTAATTATCAGAATCCGTGACGAACAAAGTGTTTGACCGAGGTACGGGTTTTGACCTACAGCTCATTACTTATTGACTAAGATTGCTGTTACTCATCTTAATCTATATTTTATTTGCGCATTAAGAATCTCACTAAAAATTCCTATTCTAGATTACTGATATTTCAATTCGGATTCTAACAAGACGCGACCGCATGGCTTTAAATCTAATCCAGTTACTGATTAAAGAAAAAAAATTAAAGGCTTAAACTATTTTAAACCTCATTTTATTGATCCATTAAAAATTCTATTAACTTGCGTTTGCTTTCGTGATTCTGAGCTAGATCTAGGGCTGAATATTTTTGATTTTTTTTCTTTTTTTTTTYTTTACCCGTTTAGGAAAAATGCGTTTAAAAACAAAACTTTTGAGCCTCAATTTTATTGAGACACCACTAAAAACTCCAAATCATTCCAAACCGCTTTGAATTTGTTTTGACTACCATTTGACTTCACTACATCAAATAACCATTTCATCTAGCCTTGACATTTTTTATATTTTGGGTAGAGAATAGTCGAATCAGCTGGAAACTTTTTGTTTCTTAGATATATCGAAACATGAGAAATACCGCTAGTTTGAATGGCGCCAAATAAGTAACAAATAACTGTTAAAGACTAAACACGGAGGAATTGTTGATACGAGATAATTGATATAGTGAGAAGATTTATTGTATGAAATATTGAAAACATTCAACCGTGGGGAAATGTTTTTGTAGTGGATGTTTATTATTATCAATAAAGATTTTTCAGCTTTTTTCAATCAATCAATCAATCAATCAATCAATTCGATTCTGTACCATCAGGTAACGTATTTACTAAATGTTCGCGGAATTATGTAAACGATGAAAAAGAAAAAAAGGTGTTTTAGACAAATGCCCGATCTAGGAGAATGCATCTTACATTTTCGAATATTTTTGGGCTATTTTAATGTTCATGGATTAAAAAGGGAAGAAATAGAAGAAATAAAAATTAAAATTAAAAAAATGAAAGAAAAAGGATGAAATGGCTACTAAAGTAAAAGATTGCAACAGACTAAAATTAGAAGGAAAGAATGTTAATAAGAATAATAAGAATGGAATATGTAGCCTTTATCAGACCACAGTATAGTGGAGTGGGATAGTAAAAGAAATGATAGAGAGAGAGGGAAAATCAGCTTGGGCACCATCGACTGCGCTAAACTTTCCTTGACCACAAATCAGACTGAAGAGAGACGTTTATACTATACTGTATTCTTTCTTTTAGACTCTACCATGTGCTTTGTTGGCGATGACTCATACAAGGTAAGTAACCATAGTAACCAGATCGTAAACATAGTAACCAGATCGTAACCATAGTAACCAGATCGTAATTATAGTAACCAGATCGTAACCATAGTAACCATACTGTAACCATAGTAACCATAGAGCTGAGGTCATGTTTATCTCATCCCACAGGATGGCGAATGGTGGTATGTTCCGGGTTGTCGGATATGTCAATGTAACAACGGATCGATCAAATGTAAAAAACAACAGTGTTCAATCGACTTAAAATGTTCTCAAGTAAGTTCATTTGGTTGGAGCCTGTCAAGTTAAAAATCCCATTTATACAACACTACAGATATTGAATGTAAAACTTGAAATTTTTCAGGGTCGCAAGCCAGGTCTTCTTCCAGGCTCATGTTGTTTACAATGCATCGAAGGTAAGGTGCATTAAGTCGTAAAGTCGTAAAGTCGTAAAGTTGTAAAGTCGTAAAGTTGTAAAGTTGTAAAGTCGTAAAGT